ATTTTAAATTAAATATCGCTGCAAAAATAATAAGTTTTCTTTTAAGAAACCCCTATCTTAAACCTTTTTTAGCCTTTGGAACAAATATACCAATTGTTTTTATTTTTTTAAATAAAAATCGATTTTAAATTAAATATCGCTGCAAAAATAATAAGTTTTCTTTTAAGAAACCCCTATCTTAAACCTTTTTTAGCCTTTGGAACAAATATACCAATTGTTTTTATTTTTTTAAATAAAAATCGATTTTAAATTAAATATCGCTGCAAAAATAATAAGTTTTCTTTTAAGAAACCCCTATCTTAAACCTTTTTTAGCCTTTGGAACAAATATACCAATTGTTTTTATTTTTTTAAATAAAAATCGATTGTTTAACATTTTATAATTGCTTTCAATTTACAAATTTTCTATTTATTTAATAAATTTCAACGAAAAAAAATCAATCTTAAAAAATTAAAATTTTTTTGTAGCTCGGTTTTAATACAAAAGAAAGTCAAAAATTTATTTTTCTAAAATTATCATAATAAAATGATCTAGAAACTTAATTAAATTAAGAAATGATTCTAAACAGTTTTACAAAAAAACTGGCAAAAATAAAGATTTCATTTTGGTGCAAAAAATACTTTTTGGTTAAAAAAAATATCAAAACCATTTTCATATTATTACGTATAGTAAATTTTCGTTTAAAAATATAAAAGCTGTGAGTTCAGAAAAATTTGATTTTTTTCATGTTAAGTAAAAAATTTGTTTTCTAAAAAATTTTATTAAAAAACAAAAACAAAATAATAAAAACAAATTTTTTTCATAAAATCGTCTGTATAAAATTAAATAATTTCTTTAGTAATGTATTTTTGCTGAAATCCAAAGAAAATTGTATGCTATTAAAACAAATATACGCCTTTTTCATGTCTAGGAGACTAGTTCAGAAAATTATTTGAATATGCAGTTGACCACCGAAGGTTTTGTTATTTTAATTAATTCACGAAAAGTATTGTAAATACTATAAAATATAGGGAATACTCGGTGTAAAATAATTTCTAATATTTTTTAATTAAACTTTTTTTTTTTATTTCAGTTCCGAGGACAAATTTAAAAAATACATACAAAAAATTAAAAAAAAATTAATGGTCTAAAATAAAAAAAACATAAGAAGTTCGCGAAAAGCTCTGCTTACAGTTTTAGTTCCAAAAACTAAAAGAAAATCAAACCGAATTTCAATAAATTTCGCAATAAAAAATAAATAAAATCCAACAACAAAAACGAAAGCAAGCAATTTCGTTTGCCACATTTCGTCATCAGACCAAAATTTGCCGCATTGCAGCATTGCTTGCATATATGTATGTAGGTAAGTGCGCTTATTACGAGTAAACATATGTATATGTATGTATGTATTTATACATACATTATTGTGTTTGTGTTTTTTCATATGTATTGGGTGTATGTGCATACGACCACCAAATGAATGAAAATGAAGACATGAAAGCAAACGCAGGCAAACAAAAAATATATAAAACAGAAACATAAGTGAATAGAAAAAATATTAACAAAAAAACTACAAATGTCTGAAAATGTTTAACCGAAAATGTAAGCTGTTGTGCGCACGCGATGCGTTTTGTGGGGGCGCCAGCAGACACGAGACTCGTGCGCCAAGCGGCGAAACGTAGCAGCAAAAGAGGCCAACTATTTTCTGGTAGCAAAGTTTGGTGATTATTTTTGTTGGTTTTCATTTATTTATTATTTTTTGTTGACCAAACAACTTGAACCTTAATTAAAGTTTGAATGTCAAATAGCCTTTGTGTTTTTTTCTTTCTTTCCCGGCACTAGCAAACATTGTGTTTATTGTTTTAGGCGCTTTTAATATTTTTGTTACAGCCAAAAGTTTTTTTTTTTTTTTTGTTATTTTCACACGCCACTGAATTCAGTAAACTGTGTATGTGTATATTTTCAACGTAGATACATATAATTGTGCATTCAATTCCTGCGAAATTTGACCTACAAACCCACTTCTTTGTCGCAGTTTGTTGGAATTGTTTACCTCTTTTTTTGTTTTTTTTTTTCACTTTCTTCCTTACCATGTCGACATCGATTTTCCATCCTTGGAGACCATCCCTTTAACTCCAGAACTTCAGTAGCGCATCGCGTGTCCTATTAAATTGCTCTATGCGCGTCTTTGACATAAATAACTTACCAACACGCATAGCCACGGTCCTGTTAAGTCCCAAAAACACTGCATTAATCGCTAAACTTTCACTAGCTCCTCCCAAGTACTTATTTATTCCTTCAGCGCACTGCTACTACTCTAATATAACTTCGCGCATACACGTATTTGTCTACTCACTGAACTTCTGAAGTTCTCTGCCCGTAAGCTTCATACCTCCTTCATCTTTGTTGCTTTGCCTTCGCTATAACCTTATACTTTCACCTTTTCATTCAACCTCACCTCATTTCCAGCTCATTCTCCCACATTCGTTGCTTTAAGTTTACTCTATCAACCCTTCGAAAGTAGAGGAAAATGTGTGTGCTTGCTGGCCCAGATCATTAAAACCCCTTAGCCGCCGTAAAAAAATATGTCTGGTATTTGCTTGCGATTTTTACGTACTCGTTTGTTTTTTTTCTTCTTTTAGGTTTTTTATTTCGTTATTAGATTTCCTTTCTTTTTTATTTCTTTATTTATTTATTTTTTTTTTGGTTTTTTTTTTTTGACACTCCTTTTACGTCTTTGTTAGTTCTACTTACATGTACCATTACCATTTTCTTCATGTCTACCATTTCAATTTTTTTTTTCTTGTCTGGCGTTCCGTTATCACTTGATTTAGAGACGACTTGATAAGCAAATACGCCGAGAGCGTCATTCTTATCGAAAGTGATTGATTTTTTTTGTACTCACAAAATAGAAATACCATAACAAAGTAGGAAGTTTTTGTTTGAAAAGGTGTGTTGAGTATTGAGTTCTAAGCTCTGTAGATGTCATTGTTTACCGCAAATAGTTGACAAGACAAAAGTGTACATACATGTGGGTCATTCTTTTACAAATCGTACACCTTTTTTTGCTTTCATATTTTAGATTCGGCTTGAATTTTTTTTCATAAGATGTGAGCACTAGAAAAGGTTATACCTCTATTGGGAATTCGTTAGCAAAAATTTTTAGCCAAAAAATATAGAGAAAAGTAGAATTTCGACAATTAATTCGTTCAATGATTTAAAAATTTATTCAGGCTTTCTATGATTTTTCTAGTTTAAAATAATATGTATATGTTTATGGCTTTATTTAGTCAAGCACACACAAATATACATACATACATATGTATGTACACTATGGCGGGTTATATTTTTTTTTAGTTTTTTTTACTAAGCGCTCTCTAAGGACTCGACCTGTAATTCTAAGCAAATTTGCCGCAGAAGCCATGGGTTTAAAATTAATTCAAAGTTTTCCAAATTGCGTAAATATACTTCTAAGAAAATATGAAAATTTTCACTATTGCGCCCTCTGGTGGAAGTTTTAGGAAAAAGATATGTGCAGAAATGGATTATTTTTACCAAAAAAAACTCTATAGCATGTTTTTATACAAAATTTAACCACTTTTCGACACTACAACAAAATGCTAAGAAACCTATTTTTTGTAATTTTGAAAAGTTCAAATTGATTTTAGACTTTTGGTTTCGGCGGTAAATTTTCTAAGAATTACACGCAGATATTGTATGTGCTATACGCGTATAGTCGAAAAAATCTCCCATATAAATTGACCCGCCCTAATGTACACACATAATTTCTTCATTTAATCTTCACCTTTATGAATTGGAAAACGTGGCAGTAATCCAAATGTTTGTGTCATTTTAGAAAAAAATGGGCAATTAATTCCTTGGAAATTCAACCAATTTCTTTGAAAATTTATTGCAGTGTTTTGTTTTATAATATGTTTTGCTTGTGTTTTTTTATTTGCATCTTTAAATTATTCAATATATTTTTGTCCCATATATAATTTGACGTACATCTTTTAAATTGTCAAAGGCAGTAGGCAAAGCGAATGAAAAATAAATGCGGCTATAAATAAAAACGTCCACTAAATTTTTTTATTATTTTCATTACTGAAATACTAAGATTTTAATAAACATTTGCCTTTTTATGGGATTTTTTATACGTTTTTAAATGTACACATTTGTAAAACGTGTGGGCAGATTTAATTTTTTAATGCATTTTAAAATGAAACAAAAAAAAAAACAATTTTTTAATAATTAACTTTTTTTATTCCATAAAAAGGTGTTTTTCTTAAACTGATAAAACTCACTCGTAAATTCGAAACTAGAAAAATATTTCGTATAAATGTTGCAAGTTCAGTAAAAGTTTCGATACCTTCAAGGTTTTTAAGGCCTTTTCAAATCTAGCGAGTATTATTAATTATTTTCCGGCATACTTATGAGTACTTAAAAAATAGAATAAACGTACACGTTACCTCCTAATTTGGCCAAAAATATAAAAAGATTTAGTGCCGTTTTATCAAGCAGGTTCTAAAATTTATCATTCCTTCAAACACATTTTTTTTTAAACAAAATATGTGTTTAAAGGGCAGATAAGTTCTAAAAACTACTTGAGAAATTAGCCCTTATTCTTCTTAGTTATTTATGGTCTCTTTAATCTTGATGTGTTTATTTTCGTTTCTTAATTTATGTTCAATCTATCATGATTAAAGTTATATACTTCCAGAGCTATTTATCTACATACGTATGTATGTATTTACATGTACAACCAACATTTCAAAAGGCAAAAAAAACAGCACGCAAACAAATCGCGCGAGATTTTTAATTATCTTCATTAAATTACAAATTAAACAAACAATTTATTGCAGTTAAACAAATTTAATTAGCCACCCGCTTGGTTGCTTACAAAATTTACAAGGCACATTCTTATATACATATACATATGTACATATGTATGTACATTAGGGTGGTCCAAAAAAGTAAAGTCGGAAATTTAACGCTCTCACCCCCTAGGATTGTTCTATACCGAAAAAAAGTATACCCCTGTTTTTTTTATTTTAAAATCAAAATATATTTAGAGGTCGCTCAAAGCGCTCAAATTTTCCCATGTATTTTGTATGGGGAAAAAAAGAGTTTTCGTATAAATGGCATAGAATCCATGGAAAAAATAGTTTAAATTAAAAAACGTTTAAATAAACAATTGGGCATTATTCTCTGAAGTCCTCTGAAGAGAAGCAGAGTTTTCAGATTGAAAAATTTTGATGCCATTTCTACGAAAAGTATTTTTTCCCCATACAAAATACATGGGAAACTTTGAGCGCTTTGAGCGACCTCTAAATATATTTTGATTTTAAAATAAAAAAACAGGGGTATACTTTCTTCGGTATAGAACAAGCCTAGGGGATGAGAGCATTAAATTTCCGATTTTACTTTTCTCCCATACATTTTTGGACCACCCTAATGTACATACATATGTACGTACGGGTGGTTAATTTTTTCAAATTAACAAAATTTCAATTTCGTACTTTTTATAATACAACTATTTTATACTATTTTATGTCATATAACTTTTTAATTGATTTTATTATTTGGTTATTCTAATTTATTTTATTTTATATTATTCCATTTTATTTTATTTTCGCATAACTTTTTATTATTTAATACTATGCCTATTTTGCCTATTCTAGTTAATGTTAATTTATTATATTTTTCTTTATTTTGTTTAACTTTATTTTATTCTGTTTCACTATATTTACTCTTCTATTAGGGTTACTAATTTTTTTAAATTAATATAATTTATTTTTTTTTCTTTTTAATACTTTTTTATTTTATATTATTTTAATTTATTTTATTCTATTGCGGATAACTTTTTATTTAAGTTTTGGTTATTATCATTTATTTTATTCCCTTTAAGTTTATTATACTTTTATTTTATTTTATTTTTTATTTTTTAGTTTGTTTTATTTTTGATTTTTATTTTTTTTTTTTGTACGTACATCGGTTGGTTTTTTCTAATTAATTTAATTTAATCTTTTTTATAGTATTAAATGTAATATAATTCTTTATAAAATTAACTTTTTTAGTTATTCTAATTAATTTATTTTAGTTTATAAATTTTTTAAATTATTTGATTTATTTGCCAATCTTTTTTTTATTTTTTTATTTGTTTTTTTTTTTTTTTATTTTTTTCTGTTTAATATTTTTTTGCGGATACTAACTTTCTGTTTTTTTTTGTCTCAACGAAGTAGTCAATCCGAAAAAGATATAAAATTTAATTTTATCTGTAAAATATTTCGCCTTTCAAAAATGCTCCACCCTAATCCATTTTGAATTTGTATATTTGGCCCCAAATAATTGCTTGTTGATTTATTTATTTGTTCGATTATTACATATACGCACATATGTATGTAATTTCCGCGTGGGCTGCGCTGTTTGTATACGTATTACAAGGTGCTTTACCATCACTTTTACAAAAACTTATAAAACCTTGGGAGTTTCGCTTGCTGTGTGGGGAGGACTCAGCTGCATAAGCAATAGAGGTACAGACATTTTCGTTCTTACTGGTTTCGGGATTCTTGTGATTTTTTCTGAATCTAAAATGGAGTTTCTTAATATTTTGCAGAGGCATTTTTATTTAATTTTTTAATGAATTAGCGCAGAAAAAATTAAGTTTTGAGAAATTTCTGAAACTCGGTCGTTTTCATACATATTCGACCATATAAAATAACTTTCGAAACTTAAGCAGGTACAAAAATTACTTTAATTAGTCCCAAAATATTCGGGATTGACAGCCCTGACATCAGCGTAGCCAGAATGAAACTAAGGGGGGGCCGACCCTATTAAGCTGGCATTTCAGGGTACTGGGCCCCTACCTGGCTACGCCCATGAGCCCTGACATTGTTTTAGATCATTATTATATGTATGCATAAGATCAGGATGACGAAAAATGAATTTAAGAAGAATGATCGCGGTGCTTTTGTTACGTTTCATTTAGAAAAGATTAAATCACATTTTATGGTACCAACTAGAGCCGTCAAACTATCGATAGTCAAGTCCATCGATGTTTTACGATAGTCTTAAGGGTGACTATCGATACTAACGATAGTATCGACCCAATTCATATGTTTTTCTAAATCCATTTATTTTTCATTATCTTGGTTTTATAAATTTGTTTATTTTAGCGGCCCACGGTTTCATTTTAGTATCGAGAAATATTGCCAGAAATTCATTCGCCGTATAAACAGTCAAAAAGCAATTTCAGAAATTTTCCGTTCAATTCGCCTTTTGGAATAAGAAAATGTGTTTCGAAAGTCACTTTACATTCAAGGTGCCACTGCTTATGTAACTGATTTCTGAAATTTCTCAATTTGATAGTCTTTTGAAATATACTGCTTTGCCAGGTCTGACATCCTCATAAGACGGCAATGAAACCTCTGCTATTTCCATGCTTAAAAAAAATGGCGCTTGCCATGAACCAACTAAATAGATCACCCAGCACGGCAACCGTGTATTTGTAATTGTATTTAAGAAAATAATAATAATAGTTGATAACGGCATTTTTCAATCGGTTGTTTCATGCACACACATGGTTTCATTCCGTTTCATTCACATGGCGGCGAAAAAATGAGGGCACTGGAAAAATAATTATTTTTTCTCGCACACCGTCCCGGGTGATCTTTATTCGTTCGTTCATGAAATAATGCTGCCAAGTTTTGTTCAATTTGAACCAATACGTGAAAATGTCAAAAGCGCTAGGAAAGAGAAGACGTATCAATGAAACGATAGTGGCGATAGTGCTAAAACTATCGATAGTTATTTCAAGTGATCAGACTATCGATACTATCGATAGTATCGTCGATAGTTTGACAGCTCTAGTACCAACTCCAAATTTATTCACCTAATTCTTTTTTTGCTAATTAATTTGGAAAAGTTTTAAATATTTCCCTTAATTTGATGAACCTGCGAGATAATTTTTAAAATTTGACCAGTACCAAAAACCACCCAAACCATTCCCGAAATTTTCGGGATTGACAGTTAATGTCAGACTCGGCATTTTATAATTCATTGAATATTTATCAATACGAAATTCACAGCAACCAATCAAGAAAATTTCGGGATTGATAACGCTAGCGCTCGAAATTTGTAAATGAGCACAAATGATGTCCTGCTGTTTTTGTGGCATTGATGGACTTCAAAATTTGTGGTGTATTGAGTGATTGAAGTCTCAATAGCTAATATGATAAAATATAAACTTAAATTTTTTAACTTTCGAAAACATGTATACACATGCTTATGTATGTTTCGTAGACAGTAAAAACCAACTTTAATGCCAAATAATTATAATTTGTTTATTTTTCATTTTCGTTGCAGCAATCCAGAAATTTGTACGGAAAAGTGATACAAGTGCGGAAGCAGTACAGTTTTTTTTTTTAATTTAATAAAAAATAGTGAGCTACAAAACTCGAAAAGTTTTTATCAAATACTTATCTATATAATATCAAATCTTAATTTAAAAATAACAACAACTAACCCTCGTTTAGATTTCTTTTCAAGTGAAATTATTTGTTTTGAGGAAAAAGTTAGACACTCCTTTTTAAAATAAAAAATTATTTAAATAAAAATAATAATTTTGTGCAAACCAGCCAAAAATCAACAAAAAATGAGTGTAAAGTGTTAACGAAATATTTATAACCAACTGTAAAATCCCCAAATTCTGCGGTCAGCAACCAAGCAAAAACACTTGGAAATCATCGGCCAACGAAGAAGTCTAGTGAGCAACTGAAAATTTCCATTAATTTAACAGCGACTTATTCATCAAACTAAAATGTTGCTGTTGTCGCTGATTTGGACGCTTTCGCTAGGATTGGCAAATGGCGCCATATTACCAGGTATGTAAATCTGTATGTTTGGAAGACAAAACATTCCAAAATCCAAACAAACAACCAAATTTTACTTATTTAAAACGCCACGCAACTCATACTCACACTCGTACACACTCAGTCAGGTGAGTTGCTAACTAATTTATACTACATAAATCTTTAAACTTAGCGCTTGCCTCATTGTCAAGCAATGCCTAGCAGACACGAGTGAATTGCAGCAACAACAAAGTGCACTTTCATTTAGTGAAGCAAGTCAGTGAGCAACAAAAAATAAATATCAAAATCAGTGCAGACTCAGCCCAAAACAAAATAAATTTGAACGTATGCACGTACATCTGCACTTATTCATACCGCAAAAGCACACATGACCATACACACACTCCACACACATGCTATAAAATACATATATGTGCATTAGGGTGGTCCAAAAAAGTTTTAAATGTTAAGCACTCACCCCTAGGATTTCTCTAAATGGAAAAAAAGAATTTCCGTCCTTCTTTGTTAAAAAAAAATATATATATATTTACAACAGCCTCAAATGCATGTATTTATATTATCGGAAGACTCTAACTCTCTGCAGTACACTTTCAGTAATAATACCCATTTGGATTTTTTGGGTTTTTGGGGTACCTATAAAAAATAATTAATACTTAAAAATATTAAAATAAACCTTTGGGCACTATTATAGAACGTCTCCTTAAGAGAAACAAAGTTTCCGATCGAAAAGTGCTGATTTTCAGAAATTGTATACCATTTCTATGTAAAAGTATTTTTTACCCATACAAAATACATGGAAAATTTCACAGACTTTGAGGCTGCTCTAAACATTATTATTTTTTTAACAAAAAAATGCGGGTATTCCTTTATCCATATAGAAAAACCCTTAACAGCTTAACATTTTGAAATTTGTCCCCCGCATGTATTTTTTTTGAACCACCCTAATGTACATACATATGTAAATGCACATGGTCTGCTGTTTATATACTTGCTTACACTGCGCGCTAATGATCTGTTTGATTAGCTTCTTCGTTAGCCAGCCACTATGTTTGTGTGGGCGTGTATGAGTATACTCAATTTGCCACAAAAATTTCAATAATTTCACTTTTGTTTACATTTTAAAATCGCATTAAAATATATGTGCAAGTGCTATGTTTTCTTTGGTGCACACAAAGAAGACCTTGGGTAATGATGAAAATCGCTTTGCTTTTTTTTTTTGTTTGCCGAGCCGCATGTTTTGACGTCACTCTGGCTGAATTCAGTGAAATCTGTCTGCCAATAATTATTTTTGCATTTGCTGAGCGATTTTTTCTTATTTAAGTTGCTTTTACATTGATGCTTTCACTTTTTATCAGATAATTTGGTCCCTTGTTCCGTCGTCGAAAAAAGGGCAGTCCAAAAAAAGTGGTCCAAAAAAAGTAGAGTCGGAATTTAAATGTTCCCCATGCCAATCCCTGCATGTCTTTATACCATCCTGATTCCCTGGCGAATCTTAGCAGACACTTTAATGAAGTTTTCCCTTAGACGTTTTCTCCGTAGTGCAGAGCACTGGCAAAGGAAGTGTTTGGGGCAGATTCTACCTCCGCTTCACCCCTGCAGCTGTTCCAGAAATCTTTATACGATACGAGACTCGTAATCTGGCGGTCCAATGTCCCATTAGTATTACTGTGAGAAGCCTAACGTTCATCGAGCCGGGGCCCTGGCCACTTTCTCAACAACAAACTGAACCGCTTCACCTAATTCTATCACAGATCCCTTTCTAGCACACTCGTTCCTTTCCTCATTTAACGTAATTCCAATATGTCCGGGGACCCAGTAAAGATTATTTATGCGTAGTAGAAGAGCTTTTAGGAGTCATCGGCATTCCTTAACATATTTCCTAATAGTAATTGCCGACCCTGATGATTTGATAACAGCTTGACTATCAACAACGAATACAATACCTCTTTTAAGCTACGTACACACAATGTATTTAATTTTCCAAACATACTGAATAAGCCTTTAAAGGCCCCTAAATAGCGAACGGCTGAAGCGAACTGGAATGGCTACCCTAGTATGAGTATTATTATAGCCTCCAGCTAATATTCAGTTCTCAGAATTTGCAGGTCAAGTCCATCAAGCTTAACGCGATTCGTGCATACTCGAGATCTCTTATGGGATGACTTAGCAAAAAACTTCCCTAGAGGAAGAGTTCATCATTTCCAGGATCCGCTGTTATGGCGTTAAAGAATAATCCATTTATAATATTCAATTTGTGCCAAAAGTAGTTAGAGCCTTGCATCGACAATTTCCCACTGGGTAGTTGTTAGTGATGTTTTTTTTTGTTCGGAAGTAAATTCATAGCTACATACAGCAAACAGCTTTATCGTGCCGCTAAGCATATGATCTATTAAGTTTCGTTTCTTTACTTTCTATGCACGTAAAAATATGAATATATCACAACTTTTTTGTGTAGTCAAAGAAACATGAATGGTGGTAATGTTAATGCAAAAGTTGGCATACATACATATGTGCATTAGGGTGGTTAAAAAAAACAGTAAATTTGAAACTAAAAAGCTTTGATACCCTCGGATTGCTCTATACCGTAAAAATATACCTGTTTTTTATATTTTGAAATCAAAAAATATTTAAAGGTCGCTCAAAGCGCTCAAAGCTTTCCATTTTATTTGTAAGGAAAAAAAAATTTCGTAGAAAAATTATAGAATTATTGAAACTAATATTTTTTCGATAGAAAAACACTGTTTCTCGTCAGGAAACTTTCATCAAAGATAGAGAAAAAGACTTTTCCGATCGAAGAATATCGATTTTCAAGAATTCTATACCATTTCTACGAAAAATTGTTTTTTTCTTACAAAATACATGGACGACCTTGAGCGACCTATAGATATTTTTTTTATTTCAAAATAAAAACAGGGGTGTATTTTTCGGTATATAAAAATCATGCGTGAACAGAGCATAAAAATTCCGACCTAATTTTTTTTTTTTTTACCACCCTAATGTACATACATATACCAGTGGTAAACAACTGCCATTGAACAGCTTTCAGCGCAAATGCATCTATGTATTTGTGTAGGCGTGGGTGTCACCAAACCGCAATACTTTCACAAGATTTTTATGAAAGAAATGTCGAAAATATGTCAAAATTTGCAGATGTGTATGTTTTTTACACTCATTCATATACGCATATGTATAAATAGGTATATAACTTTCTTGCAGCAAAAACTATCATGCCTCATATACATTTTGGCATCGATTTCAATATTAAACACAAACAAAATATTTTTTTAGCCTTTCTTTTTTTTTACTTTTCTGTTTCTATTATGTTTTCTTTCTTAATATGTCTTTTATGATTTCTAAGCAAAGTTCAACAACACATTTTCGCCTTGGTCATGAATCATCTATTAACTTGAATTTGCAGCGCTTTAGATCTTGTTTTCTTTTCTTCCTAAATTGAGTTCACACATTTTCATAGTTTCTCATTTTTTGCCAACTTTTTTAATCCGTTTAATTTAGTGTTTTTTTTTCTTTCTATATTTTCTTGCCATGCACTCACCTGCTGCTGGTCCGAAGTCCAACACAATACCATTGCCGCTGGCACATGTTTTGCTAGTTTTGCTAAAAGGCAAACAGATGCTGAAAAATTACACACACACGCTTACATACGGGTATATTGTACATAGTACTTACTTAAAGTGAGCGTCATAAAACCAGACTTGCAGACTGACGTCACTAGTTTTTAATTTTTTATTTTTATTTTTTGAAACGTATGCTGCATGAATCACACGATTTTTACCAAGAAATGAAATTGTGTCTTACGACTCTCGAAATAATATTTACATATGTGCCACAGAATTCAGCATGCATACATATACATATAAATTTATACATACATACATATGTATGTGTGTACATATATTCCAAAACAGTGCACATAAAAAGCGCATACAGTCTGTGTATAATTGTTTTTATTTAATTACTCCACTTACCATTTCATTGACTTGTCTACAAAATTACTGAAAAAAAATTCGTATGCAGTCGACTGACGCTTACGTGAAGACAATTACGATTCTTCTTAAATTTTGTGTATGTTTTTTTTATTGCTAGGGAGTAGATTTGTTCATCAATTCTTTGTATATGGCCTTTCTTATTCAACATTTCTACTTATCTACCCGCAGCTACTTAAGTGGCCGTTGCTTGAGTTAACAAATAAGTGCTGCAAATTCCTTACAACATAAGAATGCATTATGCTGCAAAGTTAAAAATCCAAAGTTGATGATCCCAAGGAAACGTAAAATATTCAGGTAAAATTTTTAGCAAAAATACCGAGCGAAGTATAATTGAATACCAATATTGTAGATAAACTGGACTCTGTTTGCAATATCCCATTTGAGGTGTCTATAATCTGATATTTTCAGCAGAATAATATATATATTTTATAAATGAACAAAATTCCTCTCAGCTCCAAGCGAGCGTTTGGTGAATCATAAAATTATTACCATATTTTTTCCAAAATTTATAACGTAATAAAATTATTAACAAGTTTTTAACATTTCACCAAGATGCTAAAAGCTTGATAACTTATTCCCAATACAAAAAGCATGAAACAAACACATACATACATAAGTGTGTACATATTTTTTAGATAAAAACCACTGCCATTAGAGTAGGCAACCGAGTAGAATTTGTATTATTTAATTTTTTAATTCATTATAATCACGTTAAGTGATGCTATTATTTATGGCAAATCTCCATGAATGGTCACGAAAATGGAAATAACGGATCCTAATGAAAGCTTTAGTCACGGTTTATGGTTGAAGAAGATATCAAAATAGTGTCGTAAAATTTAAGTGTCATAAATGGTTAAACAAAGCTATATAATAGAATAAAATTGAATATTTAACAGAATACACTAATGTATGTAGGTACATACAAATTCTAAGCAAAAAAAAAAACAAATTATGCAAAATTTATAACATAAAAAATTCATAAATGACTAA